CACATTAGTAAACATAGAGAATTTCATGAAAGTTTACTAAACATCGTCTGGACGACATACCAGTAAGTCGTCCGGACGACTTACCCGTAAGTCGTTCGGACGACTTACTTCTAAGTCGCCCATTGAGGTCATTTTTGCAATTGAAATTTAAATGGGACGACTTACTTCTAAGTCGCCCAGCTTTGTTTGTTAAAAAAAACGCCAGACAACTTATAATTAAGTCGTCTAGGTAAAACGGGCTACTTTTGCATTTGACCGAATTGTGTCAGATATTTGACTTTTTCTGGACGACTTCAAATTAAGTCGTCTATGGGAAAGTTAAAATATCAATATTTTATTTTATCAAGACGACTTACGGATAAGTCGTCTCAAGTTAGTTTTGCAATTCAAAAATAAAACTTAAATTTTTAACTTCTCCAGACGACTTAATTAGAAGTCGTCTGGTCAGACGACTTATGTTAAAGTCGTCCAGAATAAGCAAGGTTTGACCAGAAAACTCGTAAAATATTCTGGACGACTTTGATTATCGTGGACGACTTTAACCTAAGTCGTCTGAGCGGTCGACTTTTAATTAAGTCGTCTGGAGAAGTTAAAAATTTAAGTTTTATTTTTGAATTGCAAAACTAACCTTAGACGACTTATCCGTAAGTCGTCTAGATTTAATAAAATATTGAAATTTTAACTTTCCCAGGGACGACTTAATTTTAAGTCGTCCAGAAAAAGTCAAATATTTGACACAATTCGGTCAAAAGCAAAAGTAGACCGTTTTATCTAGACGACTTAATTATAAGTCGTCTGGTGTTTCTTTTTTTAATAAACAAAGCTGGACGACTTAGAAGTAAGTCGTCCGTTTGACCAGAAGACTTACGGGTACGTCTTCTACGCGAAGAGATCTGGAAAAAAAATCAATTTCAAACCTTAAACTAGGTGAGATGACTTCCTTTGCACACATAGTCTTCTCCAACCACCCAGAACATCGAACGAAAGTAACCCACCAACAATTGTATGCTTAAATGGCTCTATCAACCATAAAAAAATTGCTATCAAAAGCTTGGGTTTTTGGTATGAATATGGAGACAAAGTGAAGGAGATGTTGTTTTTAGTTCATAACAATTGAGAAAGAGAGTATGAGTATCGATTTTAAGTGCATTAAAAGCTTCAAACCTTGGTTGTACAAGGTTGTTGGGTTGTACAAGGTTGTTGAGAGTATTCATGGCAATGACAATGTTGTAAATACTTGAAGATGATGACGTTGAGAGAGTAAAAATGTCATTTTCGAAAAAAGTAAAAAAAAAAAATTTAATGGTATTTTCGTAAATAAAATGAAGATGTGGGGTGGATAGGACAAAAACAAGATGAGTTAAAAGAACAAGTTAGTTTTGTGTTTGACTATGAGTTTTGAGTCAAATTAGCAAAAACCCCTAAAAAAAACTTAAAAATACGATAAAGTATTTTCAAATACTATTCTCTAAAAACTTTTTTTTTTAAATATCTCTGCTTTTCTATATATGAAGATTTTTCAATAGCTAAACTTTCTAAAATTATTTTGATTTAATTGAATACAACTTTATTAAACTATGAATTTTATTCGATGAGCACTTAATTTGACCGAATATTTGATTAGTGGAACATAGAAGAATTTTCCACACACCAACCTACGTATGTATATAATTATAAAATCAAGACATAGTTCTAGGATTTTATTGATACGTATCTGAAATCGAACTCTTATAAAATATGATAATTATTTGCGTCTAGTATCTGACTTTTGTCCTTCTCAATTGGACAATGGATCGTCAAATCAAGAACACCACACAACAACAACAACAACAATGAAGAACAGCAATTCATCAAGCTCCATCAAGAACCAGTCAAATAATAAGAAACCAATCACTCTCTTACTTCTCCTCTCTCTCTTCACCACCTCTCTGCTCCTCCTCCGTCTCTCCCAAAACAAAATCATCCTCATCACCACCACCACCACCATCTCCGATCATCACCGCCGTCACAAATCCTCCATACTCAGAGAAGAACCATGTCTCGGTCGGTACATATACATCCATAACATACCTTCTAGATTCAACACCGACATCTTGCAAGATTGCGAGTCTATTTCAAGACCAAAAGATAAAGTCAGCATGTGTAAGTACCTCGACAACTACGGATTCGGACCACTGATCAATAACAGTGTTTCCTTAGATTCTCGGTACTCTCCGAGCTGGTACGCGACTAATCAGTTCATGCTTGAAGTTATTTTCCACGAGAAGATGAAGAGATACGAGTGCTTGACGAGAAACTCTTCGTTAGCTTCGGCTTTTTACATACCTTACTACGCTGGTCTTGATTTCCGGCGTAATCTGCGGCGGCGTAACGCCGCTGAAAGAGACGCCGCCGGGAAGGAAATGTTTGAATGGCTCAAAAAGCAACCCCAGTGGAAAGGTACGTATGCGGTATTCGTGCTTTCATTATTCTGATACGTTTCTTTTTTGACCCTTAATGTTTTTATTATTTGCAATTATTGCTTGTTACTTTATGATTTAGTCAACTATCAACGAGCTATTCAAAAGTGATATTAGCGTCTTTTTTTTTAATGTGATAGCAACTTACCAACAATTTTTCTTCTTTCCCTCTCCACCGACGACTTATGTTTTGATAAAATAATTGAATAGCATTTCAATGTTGATAAAATAAATTTGCTCGATTAATAAAATAATTAAGTAATATTTCAATGTTGTAGGTGGTTTAATGAGATTATGGGCCTTATACTCAATGTTGTCGGCCAATTATTATTTTTGATATGACTAAAAGTTGTTTATTTGTTTTCTAGGTCTGTCGGGTAAAGACCATTTTCTTGTAACTGGTCGGATATCACGAGATTTTCGGCGAAACTCCAACACTAACTTAGGATGGGGAACCAATTTAATGCTTTTACCAGAGTCACAAAACCTCTCTTTCCTTACCATTGAACGAAGTCTGACGAGCCATAACGAATTCGCTATTCCTTATCCAACCTACTTTCACCCAACTTCATCCATCGAGATTCGCCAGTGGCAAGACAAGATCAATCTCACAAACCGAACAATACTCTTCTCATTTGCCGGAGCCCAAAGACCGAGCAGAAACCAGAATGGTTTGCTTCGTACTCAAGTTATCCAACAATGTAAGAGTTCTTCCAAGACTTGTAAGTTTCTTGACTGTGACGTTAAAGCCAACGGTTGCGATGATCCAATGGGTCTGATGAAGCTTTTCGAGAGCTCTATTTTCTGCTTACAGCCACCTGGTGATTCGTTCACTAGAAGATCAATATTTGATTCTATTTTAGCTGGTTGTATACCGGTTTTCTTTAACCAAGGAAGTGCGTATAAGCAATATGAATGGCACTTACCGAACAACGATGGTGAATATTCGGTTTATATACCGGTTAAAGAGCTGAGAACCGGGGGAAAGAGTAAAATTGAAGAGATTTTGCGTGGAATACCGAATGAGAAAGTGATTGGTATGAGAGAAAACGTTATAAGATTGATTCCGAAGATTGTGTACACTAAACCAAACCGACATAAATCAGATGCAGAGACTCTTGAAGATGCTTTTGATGTTTCTGTGAAGGGAGTGATCAGGAGAATAGAAGAAAAAAGGAGAGAAATTCAAGACTGAGGAACGTGTTTATTATATATAGTTAGACCCAAAAAAGTGAATATGTCGTACATTTTTCTGTGTTTAAATATTCAATTCTCTTGTACATTTTCTCCCATTCTTTCTCCTAAACATGTTCTACACACTTCTTCTTCTACACAATTCTTTTTTGTACATTTTCTTCTTATTGGGCTTATTAGTTCAAGGTTTGATTATAAATGTTTAATCATGGGCTAATGAGAGAAACCCAACAAATCTTTCCCTTCCCGATTTAATCTGAAACTGTCGCCACCCTCATTCTTTTACAACACTCTTCAAACTTCTTAATCGGTAATACCTTGATCATAAAGTCTGGCCATTTTTCGTTTGTTTGTACCTTATTGAGATGTATGAGCTTCTCTTCAAAAAAATTCTCGGATCCAATCATGCTGAACATTGATGTGCTTCAAGCGAGAATGAAACATTGGATTCTTTGCTAGGTAATAGCACTTTGGTTGTCACATAATAAGTTGTACTTGTCTTGCTTCACTCCCAACTCAATTAAGAAGTTTTTCATCCATAATTCTGCATGCTTTCGTTGCTGTGATATACTTTGCTTCAGTGGTGGATAACGTAACACACTTTTGTAGTTTCGATTGCCAGAAACAGCCTCCCCCCCCCCTGCAAAAATAGTCACAAATCCTGATGTCAATTTTCTTGAATCTTTATCACCAGCCCAATATTCATCGGTGTAGCCATTTGACTCACGTTTCCCATTACCAAAACATAGCCACTTCTTCGTTGTGCCTCATAAATAGCATAGGATCCACTTAACTTCTTTCTAATCCTTTCATGTATTACATAGAAAGTGACTCACGACTCCTACGGCATAGGCAATGTCGGGTCTGGTGCACATCATATCATACATGAGACTTCCTACTACTGATGCATATGGAGTAGTCTTCATTTCCTCTTTCTCATTTGTTGGACTTTGCTTCGAACTTAGCTTAAAATATCCACCAAGTGGAATGCTCACCGACTTTTCTTTGTGCATGTTGAATCTCTCCAACACTTTTTCAACATATCTTTCATGGGACAACCATATAAGCTTCTTTGGTCTATCCCGAGTGATCTTCATTCCAAAAATATGTCTCGAGTGCCCCAGATCTTTCATCACAAAGCATTTTCCCAAATCTATCTTCAACGTGGCTATCTTGTTGCAATCCTGGTCCACAATTAGCATATCGTCAATATAGAGAAATAATATGAGAAAATACCCGTTTGCGTACCTCTTTATGAAAACACAATGATGATTCTTGGTTTTCTTGAAGTTATGATCCACCATGAAGGAGTTAAACTTCTTAGAGCATCTCCAACGGAATTTTTAAGGGGGAATCCTTAGAGAAAAAATAATTAAATAATCAGTGGACCCCACAAAAAGTTAAGGATTCAATCCTTAAAACCTCTAAATAAAGACTTTTTCTTAGTGAATCCTTGCACTATTTGTGGGTCCCCACGACATGTGGTGGCTCGCGATTGGTTGGTATTTTTTTTAAATCTGAAAAAATAATAATTAAAAAATCAAAAAATACTTTTTCTAAGGACTCCAACGGGGTATCACCATTGGAGATGCTCTTATACCATTGTCTTGTGGCTTGTTTCAGACCATAAAGAATTTTGTTTAGTCGGCACACCAAGTCTTCTTTTCCTGGAACTTTGAATCCTGTAGGTTGTTTCATTATAGATCTCCTCCTCGAGTTCACCATGTAGAAAGGCCGTCTTGACATTGAGTTGTTCAATCTCCTTCTAGAACCGCTGCTAGACCAAGAACAACTCGGATAATGGACATCTTAACCACTGGAGAGATATTTCTTCAAAATTTATACCTTTCTTCTCGCTGAATCCTTTCATGACCCATCGGGTTTTGTATCTTGGATTTGAGCTTCTCTCCTCATAATTTAATTGGTACACCCACTTATTCTTCAAAACTCTCTTACCTTTTGGCAGTTTCATCAACTCACAGATGTGATTATCTTGCAAGGATTGTATCTCATGTTGCATAGCTTCTACCCATTTGTCTTTGTGAGTGTCTCTTAGGGCCTCCTCGTGGCTGTGGCTCCCCCTCATCTCTAAGATTCACATATTCATCTCGGTAGTATCTTACAGATGATCTTGTCTCTCTTTCAGACCTTCTTGGCTAATATTCTTCCTCTGGCTCCACTTGATCTTATTCTTCACTTTCATCACCATTTGGATCCCCTTCTTCTGGGTTAACACTGCCATCTCCAATCACTTGTTCATGGTCTTAGGGATTATGAATATCTTCATTCCTTACAACCATTAGCTTTGGTTTCTTTCATTTGTTGATGTCTTTGATTGTTTGTTCTTCGAAGAAAACGATGTCTCTGCTTCGGTTAACTTTTCTGTTAACCGTATCCCAAAACTAACCAAAATCATCTTTAGATGAGCCAAGATAGATGCACTCTTTGGTCTTGGGTTCTAGCCTAGCTCGTTCATCCTTGAGAATGTGGACGAACGCTTTGCATCCGAATACCTTCAAATTATTGTAAGAAATCTTCTTACTTGACCAAACTTCCTCTGGGACATCACCTTCCAAAGGAACTGATGGTGTAAGAAATATGATGTCCACTGCAGTCTTCATAGCTTCTCTACAAAACGACTTAGGTAGTTTAGTTTGAGAGAGCATGCACCAAACTCTTTATGTGATTGTTCGATTCATCTCTCGCCTATCTTGTTCAGTTGTGCCGTCTTTGGTGGTCTTCTCCATCCTTGTACTGTGAGCTTTGTAAAACGCTTCAAAAAGATCCCGATACCCTCCACCATTGCCAATCCAACAAACTTGAGATTTTGACTCGTACTTTGTTAAGTTTGTGCTATAAACTCCTTGAAAACATCAAGAACTTGATCTTTTGCTTTTAAAATATATATCTATACCTTCCTTGAATGGTCATCAATAAAGGTGGCAAAATATGATGCAGCTCCAATAGATTTTTCAGACATGGAGCATACGTCTGTGTGCACAAGATCAAGGATATGCTTTCTTTTTGTAGGTGTAGAAAATCTTCGGAAAGAATATACGTCTGATTTATTCCGCTCAAGAAACCTACAAAAACGTTTCGCGACTAGATTCTAGTGAAATAACCTTTGGTAAAATTCCATGAGTGACTCCAAGAAACTTTCACCGAAGATTTAAATTCAAAGTGGAAACGTTTCTCAAAAAATCTGCCGAAATATTGTTACTTTGACATTTCCGTACATCGCGTCGATTTACTGCATTCATAAATACCGGTAATTGTTACTTACGCAAAAAAATTCTTCATACAATCAAATGAAGTCATACAAAGCAACTTTCGAAAGTGAATGTAAGAGGTTTTACGAAAAAACTATTTTTCTTATAGCGAAAACAAAGCTGTATGATCCGACATTGGACGACCAATCTAAATTTTATTTCCTCGCACCACGATCTGATAGATCTCATTATTTAGCCATGCGGCTCCCTTGAATCTGCCTTTAATTATCCTCGATTACATCAGAGCAGGAAATCACTCCTCAACTGACTCTGCACAGGCTCTGTAACGAGCTTCTTAGGCTTTGTCTCCCTCGAAGAAAAATGAAACAATTTCCATACGAATAAAAGAAACATTATACGAAACATTCATCGTATAACTTTAACCTAAAGTGAAAAATCGTTTCTACAACCATGGACCATCTTAAAACGGAAAGTTTCAGCATACTTAGCTTATCAATCTCGGCAAACGCTATTGGCCCTCGGTCGGTTACACCTTTTCTTTGAAGCCAAACCAGATTTCGGCATTCCCTTTAGACAATTCTGACCAGCTTGACCTTATTGACAGCACGAAAGTGCCATGATCTAGTCTTTTACCAAATACGTACTCGACTATGCGGTTGAACACAGCCTCCACGCCCAATCCAAAACATTTGAACGACCACTGCTCCATTTAATCGCTTAACGGCTAAACGACAATCCACGAGTTGTCTAAAAACATTAAATGACAATTAAGAAAATAATTATTGTATAACCCATAAATCAGAAATCATACGATAAATTCTTCGTAACAAAAATAAGTCCTAACAACCAAACAGTTAACGAAAAGCTTGAACTTGTCAAAAATCGATCAATTTAAACATACTAATCAAATAAATGTAGGGACGAAGAGACTTTTGTAGTTGGCTTCCTTCAAATTGTACGGATAGTTTCTGGAGATGTTGGTAGAAAAAAGATCAAGACTAGCAATGTCGGTGAAGTTATATAAGAACATGTGTTCATCTTTTTGGTATTATTGTAATTTTCTAAAGGATTCAACTTCACTAACGAAATCCTTGCATTTATCCATTGTAAATATCAAAATGACCAATCAAACCACAACATTATTCACACTAAAAGCAAAGCCATACTGTGCAGGATCATGACTCATGAGAGACCGCTTTGGGAGGAATAATAAGAAAGATGATTCGGATATTACTATCCTGAGATCCAAGTTAATCGCATACATGGTGTGGGAAACGTGTTAACTATTATTGAACATCTGTGATATCATCACAGAAAGTGCAAACCAAAAGCAACTTATGTCTTTTGAACGGTTGATTAGAAGTGTTTCACTGAAGATAACTGTATGAAAACGTGAGATTATCACTACCCACATTATGTGTAACCTAAGATTATCCCAAAGCATGCCTTCTTGGCATAGATTGTAACCCTTAATAGACTTCCTACAAGGGACAGGCTACTGGGTTGGGGTATGAATGTTCCAAGCATATGCCTGCTTTGCGGAAATGCAAATGAATCCCACTCACATCTGTTCTTTCAATGTTCAGTCTCCAGGGAAGTTTGGATATCTTTCTTCACATATCAAGGTTTGAATCCGCCACTTTCTTTCAGTGGTTCTCTCAGCTGGGTATCACAAGCTTCTCAAAATGGAAAAGTTAAATTAGTTTGCAAGCTTTTACTTCATGTTGTATGCTACATTCTTTGGCGTGAGAGGAATTTGAGATTACATCACTCAACAAGTAGGCCAGTAAATCTTCTGATCAGAGAAATCCAAGTGAATATGAAAGCTAAACTTATAGGAATGGACAGGAACACTGTCCAAAGCCATCGATCAACTCAAACCACCCAAGAATCTTACCTCACTGTTTGGTTTCGTTATTTCCAGCCATAGCATGACTATCACCAAAAAGCTTTCTTTCACTTGTGTCTTTTTGTAAGCTTTTCTTATATATT